AAAACATGTGTTCTGGAAAATATAAAGCATAAGAAAAAATATAATGTTTTAAATTATTATGAATTGCACATGCTTTAAGGTTAGGCCATCTGGCTTGCAAATGAAATATAACTTTTGATCTTGTATAACTCATATCTATTTCAATATATTATCATATAGATCTCATATCTATTTCAATATATTAGGACCTTGAATAAGTTCTCACTGATTTTACATGAAAATGAATGTTTTATTTGCAAAAATTAGTAAGAAACATGTCACTGAAAGTATTGTCCATCATTAGCTGCTACTTTTTCCCATCTTCCTGGCAGCATTTGAATTCCATGTTGGTAAAATGACACATCTTTTGAGGCTAACCACAGGTCGACCCATGTTTTGGCATCTTCATAAGAATGAAAGTGCTGCTCAGCCAGGCCATGTGCCATCAACCGGAACAAGTGAAAATCCAACGGGACAATGTCTGGTGAGTACAGCATGTTGGGTAGGACTTCTCATTTAAGCGTTTCTAAGTAGGTTTTCACTCATTTTCCAACAGTCATGTTGCAAAATCACTTTGTCCTGTCTCTGCTTGTATAGTGGCTAATTCTTCTTCAATGCTCAGCTCAAACGCATCAGTTGTAGCCAATAGCATTCTCCCATGATGGTTTCAGTTGGTTTGAGCAGCTCATAATAAACTACACCCAGTTGATCCCACCAGATGCAAAGCGGAAGCTTTGAACCATGGATATTTGGCTTTGTCAATGATATTGATGCATGGACGGGCTTACCCAATGATGTTCTACACTTAGGGTCATCGTAGTGTATCCACTTTTCATCGCCAGTCATAATATGATGCAAAAATTCTTTCCTTTTCTGCTGTTCATTAATGCCAATGAACCAAGTGAGTTGATTCAAGATAGTGATGCCAGAATTTGGGACCAATGAGTAGTAAGGGTCCATGGCTGCCAGAAGAAGCAAAGGCTAGGAATGCTGGAGGTAAGTGTCTGAGGTAACCAGAAGTAAATAAGGACATGAATGTAGGAAGTAAGAGTCCATGATAGGCAGAAATTATAAAGGGCAAGACTGCCAACACTAAAAATGGATAGGAAAGCCCAAATAGTGTCCAGAACAAAAATAAATGGACACATAACTGAATACATAACTCATTCAAAAACCCTGGCCACAATAGCCAGATGCCTGTGTTTCTCGACAAAGCTTCGTCTGAGAGTAATGAATGGTCTATATAACCTCCTCTAATGTCCTGTTGTCAAGAAGTTGCCAGGTTATATGGTAATGGAGTGTAAACATTAACTGGTCCTGCAAAGTACTAAAAATCTCAAGAAAAATAAATTCAGGTTCTAAAAATATAAAAAGTATAAAAATGTTCACAAAGTCTATTCAGACTAGGATTGTAACACTGAAACCACTAAAAAGACATTTGGTTTTATTATGAATCTAAATGAACTTAAATTGAAGGGTGTGGGACAATGCAATGAAGAAAAGGTCAATGTCATGAAGATATAGAACATTTGCCCTTGATCAAGTGAACAGAGTAGCAAAGGGCTATGATAATCTTACTGAGGAACATAACTGATGACGCCAAAAGAATGAGACACGGCAATGTTTGAATCTTACCCTTTAGTTCAGTCAAATGCAGCATTTCAAATCCTTTGCCAGTTAAAATTCAAGCATTTTTCAATCTCTTTGTGCAAATATCTGAACAATATTCAACACATCTTGTTAATATAGTTAATTCCTGCAATCTGTTCAAAAGATAATCCATTTGCTGGCACAAATTTAAATCTTTTTGTAAGAAACGCACATGCAAAAGACATGCATGCAAAAAAAAAGGAATCCTTTCTAAATCCTTACTACATTATTTCCAGAGATTTTATTTCAAGTCATTCCATCAATTCAACTTTTGCAGGATTATTTTTCTGCAAACATCTTTTTATATAATTTACCTTGAAAATAAAAGATTGATAAAAATTATGAGGTCAATTTATCTTGTCTTCAATATTAACATTTATTGAACGAAATCTTTCGGGTAACTTCATAATTCCATTGTCCTAAGAACTTTTAACTTTCTCAACAAGGAATTCTTTTGCAATTGTAGGAACACAAAACATCAGCAGCAGTTCATGCCTTACTGCCAAAGTGGACATGTTACTTATCCCAGTCCTCACTTGGAGACTAAGAGGATAACATCAGTTCAATAAGGTCAAATTGCCAGGTGTTTTACAATCTGCTGTTAACTGGAGCAAGAAATGGCTTGTTAATTTTAACAAACATCTAAAATTAAACAGTATTTCTCTCCAGAATCCGTCTTGCATATTTATATGTCTACCATTTGTCCTTGCTCATAGTATTACTGCTACATATGGTCCAATGCTCCTGTTATATACTTAGAGATTCTTAATAAAATCCAAAGAAGAATCAGCAATGTTATTGGTCCTGACCTGGCATCTTGGCTTCACTCATTTTCCCACTTCTTTAATGTAGCTTTCTGATCATTTTCTATAAATAATTTCTTGGTAATTGTTCAGATGAACTCTCCACTGTGGTAGCTAGACTTTAGGAAATTAAGCACAGTACTAGAATGGCAACAAGATTTCATCGATTTACAGGTGAATTAGCTAGATGTAACCATAAGTTTTATGCAAACAGTTTATTTTCTTACACATCTTGCTTGTGGAAACGTCTTCAAGTGCCACGATTTCAGGTCAACTTTGATTTTCAAAACTTTAAACAAAGTCAAACATTATCTACTGTCTCCCTGATTACTTTCCATTGTTCTCACTTCTTCATAAGGTTTACTTTTTTCTAATTCTTTCACACTCAGTAACCCCTTGTGTCTTAGTGGATTTACTGCCTTGCTTGGGGTAAATTCAGTCAAGAAATAAATAAAAAAATGTGTATGCCTGAACCTTTAGTACAAGCAAAGGCAGCCTTTTTCAAACAGTGGGCCACATGAGATACAGTAATCTGTAAAGTAATTTTTCATTGAATGTACCACAGACATTTTCACCCCAAAAGAACATACAGAAGAAGGAAGGCTGGGTGATATGTCCCGGAAAGGGATATATTTGTTCAAAGTCGCAAAGTGGTTTTGGACGATTGTAACCGAGTAGGACAATCTAGTAGTTAACTGTAATGGACTGGCCTTCATTGTAGTGGTTAGCAATAGGCGTAGGCAATAGGTGAAGTCAATAGGTGTAGTCCATAGGTGTCCTCATGTACCTCCACATCAGTCTGTATTTATGGCTGACACCAGCCAATCATATTACTGTGAAGGGTAACCCAGGTGTATGCATATTCATTACATCACTTGGTAAATTTGATATTCACAGTGCACATTGATGGCAAGTGGAACAGATGAAAACAGCAAGTAACCTACCTGACAAGCTTGTGTAAATGGATAGCAGTACAGGGAGTGGGGAATGTATAGGAAAAAGACCACTTCTTATATTGATCCAATTGCTAGGTCTGCTACTATGAAAGTTGTTTTTCTGTGTTGTGCTAGACAGTTTTTCTCAACAGAATCTGTCTTACATATTTACAGCCTACCATACATCTATGCTTTGAATATTGCTGCCACATCTGGCGCAGTGTTCCTGCTAAATATTTAGAGATTCTTGATAAAATCCTAAGAAGAATCTGCAATGTTATTGGCTCTGAACTGGCATCTTGGCTTCAGTCACTTTTCCATCTGCCTTAGAAATGAAGAAAATTTGTTTTTTTCTTTGGAGAAAAGTTTCTTTCTATAATTAAAAAACTGATGTCTTAGTCTACCTTCACTCCTCAGCAATTTTTGTTGTTTTAAAAACCAATTATGAAGAATTGTCCATCTGCAAGAGCAGGTAGACATCTAGTTTGGCAAGCCCAGGCAATGTCAGAATCAATGTGCATATGTCTACAGCACAACATGATCTGAATGATGGCAGTCTTCATGGCAGAATGCCTAGAAAAAAAGCCACTGCTTAATAAAAAGCACAAACAAGCTGGGTTCAACTATGCCAAAGCTCATATTAATAGGTTAGAAATGTTCAGGTAAAGTGTTTTATAGTCAGATGAGACCAAACTAGAGCTTTTGGGGATGGAGAACAATAAGCAGTATGTTTGGTAAGCTCCTAATAAAGCTTTTGAAGAAAAGAATTTGGGGCCAACAAACATGGTGGTAATAGCATTATGATTTGGGGGTGCTTTGCTACAACTGGAACAGGTAAAATAGTAATGCATTGACAGCACAATGGACTCTTCATGATACCAAGTAATTTTGAATGAAAGTTTTTTGCTCTTGGTTCAGAATTTCAGTTTCGGTCAGGGCTGGATCTTCCAACAAGACAATGATCCAATACATCAAAGCAATTCCACAAAAAGATGGGTTTGAAAAAGACATTTCAAGTATTAGAAAGTCTTCATCTAAACCCAATTAAAAACCTGTGATTCAAGTTAAAGAAGGCAGTGCATGAAAGAAACATAGGTAATATTGAGCAATTGTGGAAGTTTTGCCAAGAAGAATGGTCAAAATTGACACTCACTCTTTAAAAATTATCGGAAAAGACATTGTGACCACAAAAGGTGAAGTCATCAAATATAAAATGTAAGGGTTCACTTACTTTTGCACATCTTAATTTTTAATTAATATTTTTATTCTATCTTCATAAAAAATTTGGAAAGTGGTTGTAATTCATTTAATAAGGATTTTTTTTAATGAATATATAGTTTAATTAAGATTTGTTGATTATCTGGAAAAAAAGAGACAATTTTTTAAATATTATCTTACAGATTCACTTTTTACAGCACTGTATATACAACTTATATATATATATATATATAGAGAGAGAGAGAGAGAGAGAGAGACTTTCCAAATAATGAATATAAACAAAAACATAGATATAATTTAATTATTTATTAAAGAAAAGGATTTATTTCCCCAAAACTGAAAATTTGTCATGTGCGAATATGTGTAAATAGTTTTATTTGATTCCTCAGAGCAGTTTTCCTTTTGCTGCACTTACATGTTTTCTGTAAGCACTGATCAGTCACTTTCATTGGATGTTGGGGATTTTTTTACCATTCCTTGTTGCAAAACTCACTTGGGAGAGGTTAGAGCAGTGTTTTTTAACCTGTATGCCCAGGTGCATTAATGCACCATGAAAAGTAACCAGGTGTGTCCCAAGTTAACAAGAGTAACATAAGATTTTTTTTATTCTTATAATAATTATAAGCTGATAATAATTAATTCTGTTGGATTCCAAACTCACAATTTTAGTCAGTATTAGTGTCTCTCATGTCTTCAACACCACAAAACAACCAGATAATGAATAATACTCATTTTGTTGTTTCCATGTCTTGCTGGTTCTCATTTTTATGAGTATCTCTGACTGTATAAATGTTAGGGGATGTATAATTATTTATTCAGTTATAACTCCCCTACACACCCACCAGAATTCATTTTTGAATTGGGGTTCTTTGTTTGGTAGGCAGTGTTCACCTTTCTGCAAACATGGCAGTTTTGATTGTGACCAAATAATTCTATCTTTGATTCATATGTCAAGAGACTGGACTTCCAGAAGGCCTCTGATTTATCCAAGTGTTCTCTGGTAAAGTTTAAATTGGTAGCTTTGTTCTTTGTTGAGAGCAGAGGTTTCCTTCTAACAATCCTCCAATGAATGCCATGTCCATTCAGTTTTTGTCTGATTGTAGACACATGGACATTTACTCCAGATGCTGCCAGAGAGGGACTTCAAATGTCATGTGTGGGTTGACATTTATCTGATTTATTATTTTTCTAATATTTCTAGGTGATCATTTTGATCCTATTGACTGTCTTCCATTTGTAAATTATTTGTCTTACAGTGGATGGATAGAGCCGCAATCTTTTTCATATAATCATAAAGCTTTCCCCAAGAGTGATAAAAAGTCACTACCTTCTTCCTAATGTCTTCAGATATCTCCTTTCCTCTCAGGATTGTTGATTTGTGAGGCAAAACTTTGACATTACGGTACCTAAGCTGGTTTCCATTTTCTTTAATCTATGTTACCCAACCAATTTATTAAGGATGTTTCATCTGATTGGTCAGCTTATATTGTATGCTTAAGAACCCAAATTTACTGAACTTATTACCTACTTGGCTTCATCAATACAAAGCGGAGAGTTTACATACTTTTGTACATGTTAGATTTTAATTTTTGGGAAAATAAATCACATTTTTTGAATAAATAATTAAAATATATTCTTTTTTTGTGTTTGTGTTCATTATTTTGAAAGTCTACGTTTGAAAGTGGTGTTTGAATGCACATTTAATAGGCTTATTTTAAATTGCCTGTTGGGGTTCGCAAATTTTCAAGTGGCACTCAAGTATATCCAAAGCATCTACTATATTCAGCTCTTGGGTCCTGCTATCGCCAAGTTTTACAAGAGCCAGGTCAGGCCAAAAATGAAGAACTGCTACCATATATGGGCAGGAATTGTCAACATTTCATTTTCCTGTCTTGATAGAGTTCAAAAGTGACTGTGTGGCCTTGTGGAAAATGAAATGTTTTCCATCCTACAAACCCCATTCCTTCAGACAAAATGTCACAAGCCTCTTGCTACTTTATCACTATTCCCATGGAAAGTCTTCAGTCAAACTAAATTCCTTGACCCACCATGCTACATATTTTGTAGTGAACCCTGTCTTATTCTCTTCATTTTTCATTCATGAGATGTAAGTTCCAGTCGAACAGCTCTTTTCCCATGGTCCACTATATTTGTGTAACCGATTCCCAAGAGGATCCTTCCTGTATCATCACAATTTTAACCTGTTCAAGTCTAGGGTGAACCATTAACTTCCCCACATATGCCCATGAACTGTGCTTCTTACTCTGTAACCCTCTATATTGAGTGGCTCTTGGGCTGAATATTATTGTAAAAAATTTTTAGGTTAGTAGCAATAATAGAAATTATTATTTTCTTTAAACTTTCAGTCTATTACTTTTGTGTACCATTGTATCTGTTTAATGTTCTGTAGTGCAATTTTCCTCCTCAGGAAATTTCAGATCATGTTTAAGAATCCTATTATCTGAAATATCTCTTGCATGAAAACATTCATTATCTTCATTTCTGCTAGAAAAAGTACATTACATGCTTTTCATATTTTGTCCTCTTCAACATTTTCAATTTTGTGTCATTTAATTAATTGACCAATAACAAGAGTGTAATCATCAATGTGGCTATCCAGGTTGGATTCATCCAAGTTGTGCCCATCCAGGTTAGCCTGTATCAAAAGCAAATTATTCCTTCATCAAATTCCAATTTAATCCACTTTATCTGAATCAGATAATTGCAAACTTTATACAAGTTAAATATGGACCAGTGCCCGTAATTCCTGGCAGAAGAAAAACAATGAAATCTTTCAATAACCAATTCCAATTATTGGAGAAACAGTAAATTCTTGACCGTTGCAAATATGAAAACAAATAATTAAAGATTTGCTTTGATGTTATCAGTTTTTAGATAGATACTCATCATTTTCACAAGACAAATATCAAAGCTAATTTATGAATTTCTCTTCAATCCAATGAGAAATTTCTTTTTGGTTCACATTTATTTGTAAAAGATCCAACAGAGATTTGAGATTGGCTTTGTGCTGTTTGCAATTAAGCCAATCTCAATGTCTGTGTTGACAATGGAATCAGGAACATGGTTCAAATTTCAGCTAAGTTTGCTTATATTTACTTGATGTTTATTATCTTGGATAAGGCATGAAGACATGACACTTCCAATAGGTCGGATCAGAGGTTACACATATCCGCTGCTATAATTGCGGTCTAGTAAGATTTGTTCAATGTTACTTTGAGATGGGTACAACTAACCTGTTCCCAAAAATGCCATTGAAAATGGAGCACCCTAAAAATTTAAAAGATCAGCAGATAATTGGATTTGAAAGGAATAATCCTGTAAGGAAAAGAAGAAATATTTATTGAATATTAAAAAAATAACTCATTTAAATATATCCAGGCAAAATTTCACGTTGATCTTGCAAAAATGTTATTTTAACTTTCTGTCAGTATCTGTCTATATTTCTGAGATGAGGTATTATGTACATTATTTACATTATTTGGACTATTGTCCTCATCTTTGTTGCCATATTTATTACAATGTTTTGGCCGTTGTACACTCTGGCCTTCATCAGGTTTTTGGAATGTCGAACTGAAACCTTTATTTTGCTCACTAGTGTAGACTGTTCTAGTTCCATGTGCCACGTTTAATGGATGTCAGTTATAAGTTATCTCCTGTTTATTTCCCTCTGAAAGTTCTCCACTGCCTTAACCAGGTATTGAACTCACTCTCTTGAGGACACATGGCACAGTGGATAAAGGCGTTGGTTAGATCCAGTGACAGAACCCAAAGAGTGTGAGTTCAATACCTGTTTAAGGCAGTGGAGAACTTTGAGAGGGAAAATTAACAGAAGATAACTGATAACTGACATCCATTAAACATGGCACATGGAACTAGAACAGTCTACCCCAGTGAGTGAAATAAAGGGTTCAGTTCAACATTCTAACCACCTGAAGAAGGCCGGAGCATACAACGGCCGAAACATTGTAATAAATATGGCAACAAAGATGAGGACAATAGTTTGAATAATAAAAATAATGTTAACTTTCTGTGTCTTTAATTTTTCATTTTTGCAGATTTCTACCACTATTTCTGCTTCTTGAAGTTCTCATGTGGAGAGCCATCACCTTTGCTGTTTTTCCTTTACTAATATTTCTGTTGATATGTTCTTCAGCCTTCCTTGATGAACTTTAGAAGTTACTTTGTAGTTTCACTAATTCATCTACTATATAAGAACATTATAGTTTAACACTATACTGAGAGCAGTGTCATCATCTTTGTTGTTTTTATCCCAACATCTCAGCTGATATATTATTCAACCTTTCTCGGGTGTATGTTGCATTCAGTGGTCTTTAGAAGTTTTTTTGTCTTTTTCTTAGTCATCTCTTTTATAAAACAAAACACTGTAAGAAAGTTAGGATCTTCATCTTTGTTGTTTATATTGCACTATTTCAGCTGATATATTCTTCAGCCTTCCTCAGGTGTATGTTGCATCCAGTGATCTTTAAAAGTTACTTTGTCTTTCTTCTTATTCATTCATATGGAAAGAAAATCCCAGTTTACCAAGGACACATGACCAAATTTTTTTTTTCATCCTAAGCAAGGCAATAAAGCCACTAAGACACAAGCAGACTACTGGGTGTGGAAGTATTAGAAAATGGAAACATTACTAATGAGCAAAAAGAAAAAGAGCAACAAGGACAGTAGATAACAACATTGCATTTAAACTTTTGTAGATTAAAGTTGACTGGAAATCATGGAGTTAGAAGTGAGTTCCACAAGTGAGAAGTGCGAGAAAAGAAACTCTTGGCATAGAATTTATGGCTTCATCTAGTCAACTCGACTGAAAATTTATGATGATCTCGATGCCAGTCTATTACTTAAATTCAAAAAGTCCAGCTATCACAGAGAAGAGTGATATTTATTCTGTTTAATACACAGAAATGTGGCACAAGGACAAAGTAGGGATTGGTGAAAAAGGATGGTCTTCTTCTGTCTTAACGATTACTTAGCTAGCCACAAATACTGACCCAATCATACAAACATTATTCCTAACACCAAAACAACACATTTATATGTACATTTCTTACTACATCCACCATAATACCTCATTGTCTCTATGAAAATACTAACTAGTCCCCATATGTACAATTCATTGTCTGAGTGGGAGGGTAATAAAACAACAATTCTAAAAACTAGCCCCAATATCAAGGAGCAATATTTATTCTGTTTAATACACAGAAATGTAGCACAAGGCCGAAGTGGAGATTGGAGAAAGGACGGTCTTCTTCTGTCTTAACTATAACTTAGCTAACCCCAAACACTGACCCAATCATACAAACAATATTCCTTACACCAAAACAACACATTTATATGTACATTTCTTACTACATCTACCATAATACCTCATTGTCTCTATGAAAATACAAACTAGTCCCCATATTTACAATTCATTGTCTGTGGAGGGAGGGGAATAAAACAACAATTCTAAAAACTAGCCCC